ATTCGGTACCTTCAGTAGAATTCACCAAGATTAAAAAAAAAGGACTAATGATAAACAACAGAACTCCTTCTGCTCTTTCTGGAAAGAAGACTAAAAATTAACAACAAAAAAACACATTTGACTATGTCCAGATTTATGTCTTTCGAGAACCTAAACAAAGCAGCTAGTAACAGATAAATGTACAAATGTGAAGAAACTAATGGAAACCTAATATGTGAAACAGTCAATAAGATGTAATCCCAAAAATCTCAGAGCCACAACACAAAAGCCATCTTCCCTGCTGAACAGAATTAGTTCACCGAGGAAGCGCCTTTCAACAATGGAAATTCCATTAAATAACAGAAATGTTACAAATAAGTTTTACCACTTTAGCAGTCTTTCAAATTATACTACTTCGCATACACTAAGTTTATACTAATCTAAGAAGAAATCTGAGGACCAAGCTATGCAGAAGTAGCCCATAAACCAGACAGGCAGAGGGACCCAGCAGAGACTAACAAAGCCTGTAAGTCATCACATTCCACCAGAAACACCCAGATGAAACCAGATGAAAACGCACTTCAACAATACCCCTAAACAACTGCTGAGACTACAAACTCAGAGCCACGCCAAGGTAAGTAACACGGATATTTATATTAATATTAATATACTGCTCTGTCCACATAAAATAGTTTTGAGAATAACATGTTAGTCTTGAATCTTATTCATACATAAAATAATAGCTTTATTATAAGAGGGGACCATGGTATTTTCTGTGTGTGATTATGTGTCTGAAGATGCCAAGGAAGGAAGGAAAATTAACAACGTCTAAAACTAAGACACAAGAAGAAAAGCTTAGAATTTAGAAAAATTGAAGAATGGACTGACATTTGTGCGAATCTGTATTGTTTATATGAATGGTGACATCTCTGTCTGTGTCATTAATGTTAATAGAGGTGCTGAATATCTGTGAAAAAGTGAATGTGGACTCATACTTATGACCTTACCCTCATTCATAAGTTAAATTATATTCAAATATACTAAGTATTTGCGGTGTGTGTCTCCAAATATCTTCATTGTCTTCTTGAGGGTAAAAAATACTCATTTTACTCCCTAGGTGCTGCAAGGTACAGAGCAGAGGCTTCATAAGTGAACATTTGATAAATGCTGATAGGTAATCTTGATATTTCACTTAATGGTCACAAGCAGTATTACTTTCTGGTTGAAAATTAGATCAGCATCACATAGCAAGTAACTTTTTAAAATTTAAAGTCCATACTTTTAAGTTTTAAAAATTAAAGTCCATAGTATTAAATAAAGCTCAGAACTAGACAGTAACTGTTATTTTCTCCTATTTTCTCCTTCCAGTTAAAACTAGACCCTATTTCCATACTCCCAAGAAAGCAAACTTGGAATGATTCAAGGACAGTAAAGAACAGAACAGAGAGGAATGTAAAACCTCAGAGACCACTAATGATTGACCATCAGAGACTTAAACAGAATTATGGGTTTGTTGGTTTGTTATACTGTTTTTAAGTTTTATGGGAAAAATTCAAATATACCTAAAACCAGAGACTATGATATAATAAATTTCCTTGTGCTCAAAACCCAACTGTAAAATGTATCAAAACAAGCCAATCTTACATTCTCTATAATCCTTCCCTACTATTCTTTACAGATTATTTGGAAGCAAATCTCAGACACCAAAATGTCTCATCTTTAACACGTTCACTGTGTAGTTCTAAAAATGCAAGAACACTCCTTCCTGAAATTTAACCTTATGCTCCCCAAATTCACAATATTTCACCAGGATCATCTTGGACTTTGAAGGATATCCAGTGCCCTGCTATAAAAATTTATTTTTGATTTGCAGTACATATCAAAAGTAATAAAAAGTTAATTATATAGTTCTACTTATTTATCCTGAGGAAATAAGTCAGGTGATAGAAGAAGAAAATAATCAAACTACTTATATTAAAGTTCTCATGAGGGCATTATTTGCAGTGAAACAAGTAGGGATTTATTAAATGATGGTAAAGATATAGAATAGTTTATGTAATCAATTAAATTTTTATAAAACTAGAAATATGGCATTCAAGTTAATTTTATTTACACTACTACTTTAAGATAATTTCACATACAAATTTTAGAAAAGCCTAACAAAAAACAAAAATAATTAAAATGATGTATTTGAGGTACTTTCTCTCCTCTATTTTAAAAAGTCTATATATATATTCATGACAATGAACTTATATTAAAAAGCACTTTGTTTTACAAACTTTTTACTTTTATTTAGCCATGTTACAACTACCATCTTTCAGAACACAAGTTATATATCACTTTCTCCATGAAGCTTCCTGTAACCGCCTGAGATATTCTGTCTTTAAATTCCTCCTATAGCACTTGGCAGACAATGCAACTCTGTTATTCACAAATGTATCCTGAAAAGTTTTATTTGAAAATGTGAAATCAATATACTTTCATTTTATTATGTGAAAAACAAAATCAATCATATAACATCACTAAGTAGATCTTAATTTTTAGACCTACACATCCGTATATTTTTACCAGTTCTTATGTGTTCTTTAATGATGAATATTTATTTCCTAACTCAACAAAATTAAGGTTACATCCAGCTAGCATCCTTTTCAAGCTAATCTTTGTTTCTACTAACACTTTCAGATGTGTTCTCTTGTAATTTTATTTAATCACAAGTTAATCTTTTTAGTAACGAAATTTTCTCATCAAAAATTTTACCCATCAGACACCAAAAGTGAGATCAACAAAGCACAATTCCTTTAGCAAAAGCTTAGGTGAAACAGGAGTCCCAGAGACCAAGAGCTCCTCCTGCTGGCTACCAATTCCTCATCAGCTTGCTCCGGGACTCTACTTCATGGAACCCTACAGTAAAATATTCAAATAACAGCATAAACTCAGCTCCCAAATGGATAGTAACTCCTCAAATGTAATGTTTTACTGATTAGATGCACCACTGTGGAATAGCTCCAATTATATAAAGTTTCAAATTTGCCATGCAAAAGTATTGTTAATCAGAGCTGCGCTGACTACACCACTGAGCTTCCTGCTAATGCCAAGATCTTTAAGACACTACATCATCACTGAAAATGTAATAAAATGAAAGCAAGCACATAGCTCTGAGCTCCTCTCAGGCCCACTGGTATATATTACTAGTAAGCTTTCATCTGAAGCTCATCCTGAGTATCACCCATGAAGTGTAAGAAGAATGAGTCCATTTCAAGTCATTTATCTTGCTGAATGGAGTAATTAATTTGGCATTCAGAAATAAATTATTAGGGGTAATAATGAAGACATTGCACATTGCTAACTACAACTCTCCAAATGGTGTCTAGCCCTTAATTATCAAGCACATATTTAAGGAAATTGAGTTGAAAGAGTATAATAACCTTCCCTGGATGGCCAAACTGTCTCTATCTGGCCTCGATGTCAGTATATATTAAAATGTGGATTGTTTGAAGTTTGCATTTACAAAAGCCAAGTGCCAACAGTTCTCATAACTTTGTAAGAAAATAACTTTCAATTTGACATTATAGTTATTAATCTATATTAATTTCCTAAGATTACAAATTCCAAGAAAGTAGACATCTTATTTTGTTATGTGCTTCATAGAGCCTAGAGTACTATTTTGCTCGTAATAAATTACTACCTATTAGATAAAGTGTGCCAAAATACAAATTGTATCAATTTAGCTCAGAAATCTGAGGTTTTTTTGCAATTCTCTAACAGAACAAGGTCTCATTCTATAAAATAGAATAAATGTTTTCATGAGTTGAGCAGACACACTTGGTTTTATTAACAGAAAAGGACTGAAGAAAGCAGGTCATTTCAAAGTCTCTTTATAAGGCAGAAACTGGCCTGTTTGGAAAAATTAGCTATTCTCTGTTGCTTTCCTGGAAAGTCAGATAACACCTACTTTTGGCTTAGTCAAATAGCCCTTCACGTCACAGTGACTATTTGGGGTTTTTTTTTTTCCTTTTTTTTTTTTTTTTTCTTCACCAGGCTCTTCTGTCAGAAACATAATTCAGCAGTTTTATCTTCAATCTCCACCTCTATTCTTCCCAATTCTCTAGCACTTCTCATACCATTTGGGGGGCATAAGGAACCTTGAATTGTGTTCAGTATTGGACCTCAGATCTACCTGAGGAGGTTTACAAGGGCAAGTTTGCAAACTGCTACAACTATTATATTATTACTGCTTTTAACAATAAAATTCTTTAAAATTTTTTTCATTTTTATTGCATTTTCCTAATTTGCCTTCCGTCCTATTTTTTCCCCCTTTGGTTCTTTTTACGTGATCATCTTTGTTGGTCAAATTTTTACACGTGATTTCTCTCAACTGGTTTTAAGTTTGGAAATTCTCTGTGAAGACATCAGCTGGAAATTATTCATTTTCTTCTAGCTATTTTATTCCATTTGGGGAGTGGGTAATTTTTTACATGTATTATGCTAATCATTTTTGTTTATTTTTAATTCCAACGATTAGTCCATTATGTCAGCACTTAGTGTTTAAGAGATGGAAGATGCTGGGGATTTAGCTCAGTGCCATAAGTGCCTGCCTTGTGTTTGATCCCTGGTACCTATATATATATGAGATAGAAGGCTCTGCTTTGAGGACTACTTTTGTTTTATGAATCTACTTGCCCCTGAACCTCTGCATCACCATTTAATAGTGTGCTTTCATGATGTCTTAATATGGCAGAGTGTTTCTAATATTGCTGTTCCTGAAGATTTAAGTAGTCTTGCCTGTTAAGCTTTCAGATATATTTAAGATCAATCTGTGAAATTGTGATAAAATATTCACTTAACTGAAAAAAGAACCGATCATGTCAAAGTACTAGCCTCCTATCCAGGAGGAAGTTTCACATTTCCATTTATCTGGAAGGACACAAAAGCACACAATTTTTCAGAAAATTACACCTTTGTTTGGTCATAGATACTAGAAATACTTTCCAATTTCTCAGAGTAAGAAAGATGCTGCTCACCTAAATATATGAATAAGGATGTAGTCGACTGTCTTCTGGACTCAAAATCAGAAGCTGGAGTTTTATTTAACAATATCTGGAAATGAGGAAAAGATGGAGGAGGAAAAGAGTTTAATGACAATTTTACGGAAAAAAAAGAATTCAAACCCCAAATTTGTGCTTATCAGATTGTAATTTGCAACTCACTGGAAAGTGTGTCAAATATTTAGTAGATCCCTGATGAGCAATTTTGTTTAAATGGAATAGAATTAGAAAATTTTCCAAATATTGTTTGGTGGAAATTTATGTCTATTGCATTTTGTGCACGTGTATGTATAAGATCTGAATCAAGGATAAAATGAATTTGTATCTGATAGTTCATTCAGGGAGTTCCAGTGCATTTTTTTCTGAATGTACAAATAAAGGTTATTATTTGTTGTGTATTCCTAATCCATTTTAGAAAATCTTTCTCCTTTCGATACATCTTTGTCTTAGAGGACAGGTTTTTGCGCGCGCGCGCGCGCGCGTGTGTGTGTGTGTGTGTGTGTGTGTGTGTGTGTGTGTGTGTGTGATTTCCAGGTTGGATTTGTTTGCTTGCATTGGATTTTTGAGACAAGGATTCACTGACCTTGAATTCACTAGTAAGTAACCCAGGCTGACCTTAAACTCATAGTGATCGTCCTGCCTTAGACTCCTAAATGCTGGTATTATAGGTGTATGTCACAATGCCTATTTTAAAGATACATTATTTTCATGTTTACTTTCTTGAATAAGAACAATGATGCTAGGATACGGCCCAAATGAATAAGGATGTTGCTTACTCAGAGAATATTTCAAATCCCTCACCGAAAGAAACTTCACGTTTTTCATTTTTCATACAAGTTTAACAAAAAAGTAACACTGCTGACCACACAGAAAGCCCATTCAAAGTATGCAAATTAGTGAATTATTGTTCTTATTGGGCTTAAATTTAGACTGTTCAGCCAATCTCAAAAGGACATGCTTATTCCTTTTTTCTCTAAATAACACTGTGAGCCAAAGTATAAGAAGTCAAGTGCAAACACAAGTAGTCTCCTATTAGATGTATTTATCCTACAATGTTTTCACTATGTATTTTTTAATAGCTTTGTAAGATGGCATTATTGCTAGACATGAGAGTACACAACTGTACTGCCATCACTCTGGAGGCTGAGGCAGGAGGATTGCCAAGATTTCAGAGGCAGCCTGAGCTACACAGTGAGTTCGCCAGCCTGAACTACATAGTGAAATCCTGTCTCAAAAAAAAAAAAAAAAAAAGGCATTATATTTTCTGATCCAATTCAAGCTTATCTTAAAAACAGTCAAGTACAATATAGACAATTCTAAATAATTTACAAGTCCACAAATGTGGAATTCCAGATTTATAACCATACAGTCACACAATGCCCTTCTCTCCAAAATGAAAATTTAGCCCAGAATCTTGAATATATATTCTTATCATGAGGACTATTTTTAAAGGTTCGACTTCATATGTATGTTACCTTTGGATATCTCTTAGGTTTAAAAAACAAATAATTTGTCTATAAGGTGATTTGAATATTTTAATCTAAAACAACCAAATATATAACACGAAATGTATATCAGGAGTCCTATTCAGAAATTTAAAAATTCTCCTGGTACTGATTTTTAACTCCAAATATTAGAGAAATCAATCTATAGGTATATTCAATTTAGGGACTAAGGGGTTATGGAAATTAAGGAGCATGAATAGTCAAATGCTAACCATTTCTAATCAGGATCTGTTGCATATAAAATTTTTAAATATTACCTAGAAATAACTATGTTTACTAAAAACCACACAATAAACATGAATATTTCCTATCTAGAATTCCCCTACCACCACAAAACCTAATGCCTTATTTCATACACCAATGGGTTGCATTCCGTTAGCCACATTTTCCCTACACTGATCCAAGTTTAATAAAAATAATTCCTTTCAAAAACCTGTTAAGCTTCCAGGGAAATTCTTCAGAAAACACAGGGCTATTGTGTTACATGTGAAGTAACATTTCCTGATCAGATTCACACAGACAGTGGCTATTCTTCAAGACTTTAAGTGAAGATTTATTATTTTATTTTTCAGAGACAATTGAAATATGGCCCAGAGTGACTTCCTCTATCCAGACAACCCAAGGAGGCGGCAGGAAGTGAACCGTCTTCACCAGCAGCTCCTTGATTGCTTATCTGACAGTTTCCATGCAACCAATAAGCTCATAGGTGTCTTAAACGTGCACTTGGGGTGCAAGCTGGCCTCTATTGAAATGAAAAGAGATGGTACCATAAAAGAAAACTGTGATATCATCATTCATGCTGTGACAAACATTCAAAAGGAACTGCAAAAAGTGGATGAAGCACTCAAAGACAAACTAGAGCCAACCCTCTATAGAAAACTTCAGGATATTAAGGAGCGGGAAACAGAGAAAATTGCAATAGTACAAAAGGTTATGTCAGTCATCCTGGGCGAAGCCACATCTGCAGCCAGCGCAGTGGCTGTTAAACTCGTGGGCTCAAACATCACAACTGGCATCATTAACAAGTTGGTCAGCGTGTTAGCTCAAATTGGTGCTTCTCTCCTTGGTAGTATTGGAGTTGCTGTTCTTGGCCTTGGCATAGATATGATCTTCCGCGCCATCCTGGGAGCAGTGGAGAAAACACAGCTTCAAACAGCCATCAAAAGCTATGAGAAGCATTTGGTGGAGTTCAAGACAGCGTCAGAAAAATATAATGATGCCATTACTGAGGTCGCCGATACAGTGAAATGCCAAATGAAATGAATCATCATTTCACTTCCCAATGAAACATTCTTCTGCTTTCTTCTTAGTACCAGTGCTTGCTTTTTTTTTTTTAATTAGGTTCCTTTCCCACATGTTTCCAATGTGAACATAAATAGGATAAATAATTTGAAAGGAGAACTGGAGATGCTAAAACTAGATGACTCTTGAGTTGTGTGTCAACAATGAATGCCTGGATCAGTCGGTGCTAAATCCTTCCAAGTAAATGCTCATACCCCAGAATGTTTTTTCACCCTCTTCTATAGATCTGCATTAGGGTAAATGCTATCATAAAGGAGCAGGTGTAGGGAATACTCTCTTTTCTAAATTCCTATTAAAATCCTTAAAACTTACATTTAATGTACAGATTTTCATTTCCATCACTAGCTTCTAATAACACTTAGTTCTAAAGAGACAGTAACTCTAAAGAGGGCTTCTTGCTGGGTGTGGTGGCACATGCCTGTAATCCCAGCTTTCAGGAGGCTGAAGCAGGAGGACTGCCACAAGTTTGAGGCCAGCCTGGGCTACACAGTGAGTTCAGGGACAGCCTAAACTACATAAGGAGACCCTTACTCAAAAAGACAGACAGACAGACAGAGATATTCTTAGTAATTTCTTGTTAGACACAAATCTGGAGATTTTGAATAAAACAGAAATATGTACTACCATATTACTGACTGCTAGGTTAAATCCAATTTAATCTATAAACTGAAAGAGAATGGAAAATGGTGTGTAATAATAGGCTACAATGATAAAAGGAGACAACCTGTAAACTACTGATTACACAGTGTAATTTGGATGGATCAAAAATTAACACTAAAATGATAAAAGTCTATATAACAGCAATCAATGCTTATCAGCTGCGATGACTATGTCTAGAAACAATAAAAAGCTGAATCTCAGCCACACATGCATAATATGCATTTAGGAGGCTGAAGAAGAATTCACTATTTTTAAAGATGTGTTAGTCAAAGAAAAGTTGTAATTTATTAAGATTTTTCTGGGGAAAAAATATAATTTTATTTTCAATATTAGTAGAAAGGAGGCAGCTGCTTCTGCCATAAAGCACTAGGTGGCCCATATTACTAGCTACCTGGTTTCAGAAAAATTCCAGAAACTATGGAGGCCTCCTGGTTCAGCTGATTTTTCTGTAGACACAAGCATTTGTTCTCTAAACCCTTCACTAACCGGTAATTTCCACTGAGACTGATTTAGGATCTACACTGTATTTTCAAAATTATTATCCTGTTGGCTTGAGGATGTTTTAGTTCTTCTATCCAATTACAAAAAGATCTTGAGATAAAAATATTCAGTGTATCTCACAATTTTTAAACAGCCAGATGAAAATTTTAGTGAAATGAAAGACTAAATTTTCAAATGTTCTTCGTTTTCTTTCTCTGCTCTGTTTACATAAATTAGCTGCAAAAGAACATAATTTAGCTGAATTTCAAAATTCTTTTTATGACTTGGTTCATAAGCTGTGACCTATAAGATTTTGTTATTGCTCTTGCTGAAATTCAAATACAGCCATCAAATCAAGAATTTTCTAAGACAAAGGTCTGTTTACACATGAGCCCAACTTAGATTAAAAATTAACATGCATCTCCGCCAATATTTTGAAATATTTATAACATAGTAAAAATTCACCTTTTCTTTTGTCTAGGAGAAATGACTACATTCAGATAAAACCAAGCATGCCCTTTAAACGCAGAATTTTTTTAAAAATAAAAAATACTTATCTTTAAGGAGAAAAGATAGAGTCTCAAGTAAAGACAGTATAAAAAGAAAGGTCAAACATTAGAACAGTGAATAATCCCGTATGTATAGTGACATCATAAAAGATGTCTGGCTGGTAACAAGCCTGGTAAGAGCCAATATTTATCAACTTCGCCACTCGTAAACTACGTATATATCCCTATGTTTCCTCTTCAAAAAAACTAATTCTGAATATAGGCAATCTAGGGAGTTTAGAATGGACACTTGCTTATTTGTTCAGGTCTACAAATGCTGTGTTCACGAATCACTACTAAATTTCCAGACCCGTCAGGCATGCACGTGGGATTATCCGATGCTTGCAAAGCACATTAAACTCAGTGTCAAATGTTACTGGAGAATTCATTTTCAAACAGAAATAGAAACATTTTTCACCTGCTCCCATCATTAGAGAAGTAAAAACTCAACGACACAATACAAACCAACAAAACACAAAACTCTCCGCTATTTTCGAAAGAACCGCCTTGGGAGGTTCAATACAGGCCGCTTCCGGAAATTGGGTTGGAATGCCTGCGGACTAAGAGGCAAGGTAACCAGCCAATCTCATAACGGCTTCCTTTTTCTTATTTCTAGTAGACCAATTACGTGTCAATTCACGTGGAGTCCGTAGTGAGGCGGGCTCTTAGACGAAAATCAACCAATTGGGTAGTGGATTAAAGCGGAAGCGACTCTCGTCCTACAGTTGCTGGATATTCTCTATGGTTGCAGAATTGAGCTACGCTAAGACGGTCTAAACTCCAGAGATAGGAAATGACGTAAGGATGGCGGAGGGGCGCGAGGTTTCAAGATGGCGGAGATTGGGTGCTTGACCGAGAAGCAGAGGTGAAGGCCCCTGCGGAGTAAAAGAGGCCGGCAATTCGTCCCCTTTCCGCCTTTAGCAGTTGTGGAAACCCAGCAGAAGTGTAAGTATATGGAATCGCTTTACTTCGGCGGCTCCATCTCTCCCATCCTTTTCTGGGCCCCATGCGTTTACCCCGAGGACGTCAGGCCCCTTTGCCGGCTGCCCGTCTCCCTAGTTGGGGTCTTCTGAGGGGCAGACTGGAGGATTCCTGGGCCTGGCGTGGCTCAGTGTCCAGCGGTAGATGGCTGAGTTCGCCGGTCGGTTAGCACCGCCTCCCGTGCACGCTGACCGCTGCCCCAGGTCTGACGTCTCAGACCTCGAGTCTGCATCAACCGTCGCTATGGTTTCGGCAGTTGCTGCTGGTCTTGCCCCTTTCGATGGACCTGCACCCCGTCTCATTGAAACTTCTGGCTATTTAGGGTTTCTCGCGATCTTTTGGCCTCATTTCCCGGTCTCCCTTGATTTTAGACAGAAAAATAGTTTTCGTAGACTGAGGTCTTCGCCATGGTCGTCTGTAAAAAAATCTCATTAATTCATGTGTGTTCTGTTGTGGGGGAAGAGCGTCAGAATATGAGAATGCTTGAGAAAGGTAAACACAAAAGATAGAGACAATGAACGTTACAACGACTTATATTTGTAATATTTGGCTGATTTTCCCTATTCGTTGCATCCTTCCCTTTCTGCCTCCAGTTTTCCCAAAAAGAATATGCTTGATGCGATAAATTGCCGCTGGAACAGCTCTGAAACATGTAATAGAAATCGTTTGAATGCTTGGTGAAAGAAGCATTAACTAAGACAGTAATGATGATACGTGCCTGTAACCCCAGCCTTCTGGGAATTTGAGGCAGGAGGATAAAAAGTTCAAGCCCAGCCTGATTTAGTGATTTAGTGACTCCCCACCTCAAAATAAAAAGATATGTGGGTATAGAGATGCTGGTTAGTGCGAAGGCCCTGGGTTCAGTGCCTAACCCCACCCCCACCCCCACCCCCCGCCCAACAAAACACTGTGTTAAATGTGCCTGACAAAAATCTCTATAAAAGAAAGTACAGAGCGAAGATATAATTGTATAGTCAACCAAAAAATTCACCTTATGATCTTTTTCCCTTTCCTACCTGCTATGTGTCCACTTTTAAAAGAAAACAAGTTTGTCTCCTTTATTATTGGAAAGAGTGTTTGAAAAAACTAAGTCCCTTAGCTCCCTTGAAATAAAAGAGAAAGAAATATTAATGAAGGTTTTTACTTTTAAAAATATTTTTCATCAAACAATTACCTTTTAAAATTACCTTAAAAACTACAAATCACAAACTGGGCATAGTGGCGCATGTACACCTGTAGTCCCATCACTTGGGAGGCTGAGGCAGAAGGATCACTGAGAGCTTGAGGCCAGCCTGGGCTACATTGTGAGTTCAAGGCCAGCCTGGACTACAGAGTGAGCCCCTGCCTCAAGAAACAAGCAAAACACAAATCAGGAATCAAGTACATACTAACTAGCAAGAAATACAGGTATCTTAATAGTGAGATTTTGTGGACATTAATTTACTACTTTTAAAAATTTACATTTTAGTTATGCTTTAAGCTCTTAAGAGTCAAGAATTATGTCTGAATTAGAACTATATTTGAATTAAATGTTCTTAAGTTAATGAGTTTTTACTATCAAAGGTCATGGATATGTATAACACATGTCAAGAGAGGCAAAGGAAAGCTATTTGTCTTCGATCCCAAATTCATTTCTCCCACTTTTTTTTTTCCTTCATTCCCCTAACATGTACATAGAAAGGACTTTTCATTTGCATGGCTTATGTCATATTGTTAAAAATCACTTCTAGATGATTTTTTCTTCAGTAGACAATGCTGTGATTCATGAAGAAAATGTTAAATTGATGAATAAAATCACTTTCTGACTCATAACCTTTCTAAAGGATAATGAAATTTTCTCTGTGGTCAAGCAAGTTGAGGCCATTTTTCTTGGATACCAAAGGAAAGAACCTAAGGATACCAAAGGAAAGGATACCTAAGGAAAGAACATAGTCTCACAAAATTAATAAAGGAATGTTTCTTTTCAGAGACTGATAGGAACGCTAATAAAAATAGAAAAAATAAGCAAAAAATATTTCTTTTTTTTTTGCAGGTTTTTTATTTTTGTAAAGAATAAGTAAACCATTATAGATTGTCAAAATGGGGCGGAGATCAACATCATCCACCAAGAGTGGAAAATTTATGAACCCTACTGACCAAGCTCGTAAGTGTCCATTAGTACAGAATGATGAATAGAGGAGTATTAAAAATTTCAAATATTAGGGACTGTTTCATTATGGCTTAATTGCATTATCAACAGTCATGGAAATAAATTGTATAGTTACCTGGAATTGTTACAACACAAGATTAAAACTTTAAACATGTAAATAAATTAATACCTCATATTTCATTTTTGAGATTTAAGTGACTTGCAAAGTAGAATTATCTTAAGACTTTTTATATTTGGAATTTTGAACATACTCATTATCTTACAGATTTTTCCTTAGTATTTTGTAGAGTTTTTTTTTTTTTTTTTTTCCTTAAGATTTCTAATTACTTTCTAAGAAACTTAAAAATGCCTTAACATGGGCTGGGGATTTAGCTCAGCAGCATAAGCACCTGCCTTACAAACAGGCGGTCGCGAGTTTGATCCCTGGTACTGATTAAAAAAAAAAAAAAGCCTTAACATTTTTGGTTGTAATTAGAGGGATACTATTTTCATCTAATGGGTAGAACCAAAGGATGCTACCAAATATCCTACAGTGCATAGGAAGAATTGTCTGTATTAAAGGGAAAAAACACTAATGTTAAAAAGTTGAAAATTGTATCATCTGTCCCTCTTTCTCTTTAAGGAAAGGAAGCCCGGAAGAGAGAATTGAAGAAGGTATGGTATCAGAAGAATCCTACTTATCTTTTAAGTGTTATTTGACACATCTTATTGTTTGGAATTGGTATATTTCAAAATAACATTTTCAGTTACTTGCCAAAATAGATGAATTATGCTTCCTAATAAAAACCATAGAATTTAAGACAAATTTTACTAGAGTTAAAAAAAATGAACTGAAGTAACTTTGCAAGTAGGTTCTAATCAGTTATAATAATACTGTTGATCTTTCCCAGTGAGTTAAATACTTTTAAATCATTATTTTTGCTGCTCAGCAAAACAAACCTTGTCAAAAACTACTGAATTAGTAAATGGAAATCACTGTTGGATAGCTTTCTATATCATACCTTCCATATATCAGTTTGTAACAAGGTAATTGAGTAAGAAAGGAATAATCTTGTAGTATAATGTGTTAACACATTGAGGAAACCCAGATTTTTTAATCATTTTCAATAGTGTGTTCTTGTTTTTATTGATTAGCATCATATTTTGCAAGACTTTTTTTCTATTCCAATCTATTAATACAGCATTTTTCTTAACTGCAACTTTAAAAGACATACTTGCCCAAAAAGGATCTCTTTGACTATTAAGTTATATTTGAAAACAACAGATGTCATACCTGGAACAAGGTACCTGACATCTCTGAGCAGCACAGATACCTGCCTGGAAAGTATGAGGTTGTGAGTTTGATCCCTGGTACCAAAGGGGAAGAAAAAAACAACAGGCATACTTCTGTCTCTAGTGATTGAAACACATGACCAGAAACCAAAGGAAAATTCAAAATTTAAGTCAATTCTTGAAGCATATTGAAATAACTCACAGACATCCGGGTTCTTAACTCTATTCTCCTTTTACTTTACTAAGAACAAAAAACAGCGCATGATGGTTCGGGCTGCAGTGTTGAAGATGAAGGATCCCAAACAAATTATCCGGGACATGGAGAAATTGGATGAGATGGGTAAAAAACTTGTTAAAAGGCTAAATTTTATAACAGCTGTAGTGATCTGATATGCGCAGAGGCAGGGACATTATGAATAAAATAGCATAGGCCTAGGAAAGATAGGACAGCATGATAACATTTCACAACCAGTTAGTTTTAGTGTCTGGAAGACAAAATGGAGAAATAGGGGCTTTTTACGAACTGGAAATTCCAAAAGAAAATGTAGCTGAAGATAATTGTTGGGAGTTAAAAAGCACAATCTAGCCAACTCACTTTTTTTGAGAGAAAAGTTTGATTTATGAAATCATTGGTTTTCTAGTGTTGGCAGCTACCGTGTAAATCTAAATATTAGGCCACTGTAAATATAAGGCAGTTTTTTTTCCAATGAGAAGATGCAAAAATATATTTGGCCATTTGGTAAGAACATAAAGGAAATCATCACACAGGTGTTCTTGATTTATGATAGGTTAGCATTCCATTAAATCTGGTAAATTTAGAGTAATATAAGTTAACAATCTTTTAATGCATTGAATCTAATGAATATTTTTGCTTAGCTTGGCTTCCCTTTAAGTGTGCTTAGGACACTTTGTGTCAACCTTCAGCTAGGCAAAATCATTAAATTTAAAGTCTATGCATATCACATGTATTGAATACTGTACTGAAAGTAAAAACAGTTGTATGTGTACTTCAGTAGTTTCTGCTGCGTACTTACAACATTCAAATCATTGTAAAGTAGAAAAAAATCTTAAAGTGGAACCATCCAAAGTGGGGACCATCATCTGATGTCTGAGAATCATTCATAATCACTAGAAATGTTATGTTCACTCACAGATCTGTTCCTTTTGCTATTAGAACATAGTTTTTTTGTTATCTGTCCTTCATTCTTATTTATTTTACAGTCCTGGGGATAAAACCTAGTCCCTTTTTACTCCAAAATAGACATTTTCAAACTGCAAGAAAAGAATATTTAACTACCATGTGCTTTATCAGTAATCAAATTTTTGTCAATATTACTTCCTCATGTATCTCACCTTTTTTTCAGTTGTGTTTTAATTAACCTTGATGTGCAAGTTTTGTTTACAGAGATACTCGACAGATGCAGTAATTTGTCCAAAAACAGAGTATTAGGTGAAAAAAATATAGTGGAATTCCTCAGTGATACATTAATTGGGGTTCAAAGCAGTTATATGGGGCTGTGGTATTACAAATTTCCCAGGATAACTTTTGAGGGTTCATGAAGTAGTTTGGCCAAGAGCCCTGGGTCAGGACCCCGACAACTTTCCCAGGTTACCTGTAATAGATTTCACTTGTATCTACTTTAAATGATGATTTTCCCTATGGTGTCATAGAATCCCATGCTAAATGGTCTATAATTGTTCATTGTTGTTTTTAAAGGAGATAATAATTGAGGTTGTGTCAAGTTTTTATGCATATTATCTGATCCTGGGTGACTTCAGTGTAGATACATGTTTATTTTATAGGTGAGGAAACTGCAGCAGTTGCATACCTTTTTCAGAGTTATACTGCTAGGTAGTGGCAAAGCTGGGGTTAAAACTCCCA